CACTATTATATTCGGCGCGCACAACAGAGAGCAATATGGCTTGAAAAAGCAAATGTGAAGCCACGTGTCGTAGTCCTCCACTTTGAGTTCGCCGAAAACTGGAGTATTGTGCTTCAACGTGCAGTGCAGGGATACCACTGGAAAACCAAGATGGTGACAACCTTCACCTGCGTTGCGACGACCACGAAGGGAACACTAAGTTTCGGCGTCGTGAGTGACGATACCTGTCATGATTCTGCACACGGGCTCTTTGCGCTCACAATGCTTGAAGACAGGCTCGAGGAACTCTTGCCCTTTTTTTTGGAGCTAATCTATGTTTCGGACGGCGCTCCAAGCCATTCCAAAAATCGGCACCAATTACACGAATTTCAGAAGAAGTTTGTTGTCAGCAGGTGGATATACTCGGCGTCAGGGCACGGCAAAAGCGCGTGCGATGGAGTGGGTGGTGTGCTGAAGCATCATGCGTCACAGCATAACTTGAAAACAACTGAGCTGAGCTCCATAACTAACGCGCGTACGTTCGTTGAAGCTCTCGGCCAGAAAATGAAGGGGATAACGCTTCTCTTCATCGACCAAGAGGAGTTGTTCCGTTATCGGGAGCTTAAAAGGAAGGGGTGGGAGAAGGCAACCCCATCGAAAGGCATCAAACCTTCTCATGTGTGGAGCAAAGCAATGGGGGAAGGGGGAGGTGATGTGGTCCTAGAAAGAGTTTACCAAACCCCAGAATAGACAGAGCTAAATGGTGGGACCGTGAAAAGGCCGAACCGTTTCAACAGTGCGTTCATCCTTGTCCCACTGTGAGTGCGCGCTGTGTGATCAGACGACGCGCCATAGACTTTGACACTGAACTGACTGCAATTTGGACAAAGCGAAAACTGTCTCAGAATCGCATCAACCTATTGTCTCGAAATATGCTACGCCGAAAGATGACTATCCCTATCCCAGGTGTTTATCACGGTTTTTGCGTGAGCAGCGCCGTGTAGTATTGAAAAGGTACTGCGTCGTCTATCCGTAAACCAGACGGAATTTGGCGGTGTTCAATTCGTTTTAAAGTTTATATTTGTATTAAATTTAAGTGTATTTTATGTTAATTAGGAGTATATGAGACATTTGGTCAACACATTTTGATATATTTTATGAAATGAACATGTTTAGGCTACAACATCAAATATTCCTTCCCTCCTCTGGTTACGTGTCGGATCTTGAGTTTAAAATTCCGAACTTTATATGTAATTGTCATATTTTCTTATGTCAAACAGATATGCAGTGCATATACATATGTGCGATTTAGTATCTGACGCTTAGGAAGTACGGTCTATTTTGTGCACATACGGGCTCTTTAGTAAAATAACGAGTATCTCGTGGCGTGTTAGGACGAGCATTTCGTGGCGTGTAAGGCTTCAAATGCGTTAGTCATGTGTTTAGGTTTCATTTCTATTTGCAGTGATTCATGCCAGGTTACTTAGACTTTCCCTCGTGACTTAAGTTTGTCCGTGAGTTTAGATGTTACGTACTTCTCAGTCAATACACAAGGCGAAGCTCACACACCTTTCAAATCACCCCAGTGCCAAGTAAATAAATATTGTAAGGATAAATATTGTTACTTCACTTGCTTTTACGCTCAGATATTGTGGTAAGTACTAACATTAAATAGAAAACTTTACATTGGCCAAACTTCTGCTCAGCAAAGCGCCTGTGCGAAGTCCCGTTCAAAACGCTCATAGCACGAGATTCGAGTCTTAATAGCGGCCATACAAACAATATATTGCAATTTCTGTTGGTAGTTCCTGATAGACTACTATATTAACTAACTGTGAATAAAAAATGAAAAAAAAATAAAAAAGTGGGATTTTTTAGAAAATCGACTCCAAACTTGCTAGTTTTTTTTAAATATTCGTTTTTCAGGCACATGTAGCGCATTATATACTTGTGGCAAAATATTGAAATTATACTCAAGATAAAGAGCATAATTGGTTCTTTACGGTGATAAAAAGATCATAAAAATATGTTGATTAGGTCATAGAGCACAGCTTGCTGAACTTCGTCAAATATCGTCACAGAGAGGCGGTTTGACAATTAAAAAAAAAATCATCAAGAATGTTATGACATAGACGCTTAATTAGCATGAAAAAGCCTATGTCTAGAGTGTTCCCAAAAAGTTATATTGATGTAGCGTAAAAAGTAGGGAAAAGGGATGGAGTGAAATATGGCACCTCCGATAGGCTGGAAAAACATCAATTTCCACCTTGACCGCTTCAACGGTCCATAACTTGAGAACGAAAAATCCGACGAAATAACCGTTTGCGTCTTCTTTTATTATAGGAATTGCCCCAAAACATATTTTTTCGTCAAAATCAAAAATTCGACCCTAAATCCGTGCCTGAGTTGAGATGAAATCACCCATATATGATATAAACGTAATGTACAACCCGCTACCAAGGTATAAAGCACCAAATTCATATTTATGATTATCCCCGTAACCTTGGCACTAGGTGCAGTCCCGCAGCTCCCCACACTTTTCGACGAATCGGCTCCGATGCGGCATCTTCCCTCATACGGGCTCCGATTCTGGTTAATTTACGTTGTATGTAATGTGCTGACTGTCTCAAAAGGAGCCCTGAGACATTTCATAAGGGAAGGAATTACCGAAAAAAAAAAAATTAGTCATCGCCGCAGGGAGCGCACGCGAGCAAGAGATGGGTCGACGACGTTAAGCCTTTCGTCCTACACTGCTGTCGCTACTCTCGTGTGCGGTTCTTTTGATACTTTTCTTCCCGTCGTTTTTCTATCGTCACCGAAGTCTAAGGTAGTTCTTTTGTGTTAGCTTGATACTACGGAATTTACGTGGATTCGCATAATAAGTCTTGCTACTGTTTGAGTGACATGTGTGGCAACTAGCCAACGAAAACACTGGTCGATTATCGATAGACCTCTCTCGGCAGAGAGAGACTTCTTGGTGTTCGGGTTCAAATGTTTTCGTCCCGGAAAATTTCGGGACGCACGGATACAATTGGCAGGTGAGAAACAACCTATGTACGGGCTTTCTTGGTCATGTGGGACACGAATAAAAAGCTGCAGTCGTTTTGGGGGCGAAGCTCCGTGTGTGTCCGTCCGGCGTCCGTGCTCACATCGATTGCCATCCCATCTGTCTTCTTAAAAAAAGAAAACAAAATGTTTGCGCAGTCGACAGGATTTGAACCTGTGCGGGGAGACCCCAATGAATTTCTAGTCCATCGCCTTAACCACTCGGCCACGACTGCGGGACGAGTAGGGGACTCTGAGATGTGGTAGTAACTCAAGAGCTAGGGGTGTCATGGATGAAACGTTGCATGTAGCCACTCGACGTCTACAGGAGAGGGCGCTGCGCTCAAATGCGTATATAATCACGTTAAACTTTGCATGCATGGGCTCAACGTTTATAGACGAGAGGGCGCTGCAGTCGAATGCTTAACTGCGTATACATAACCCCGATTCATACCACACATTCTCTTTCTGACTTCGGCTTCTAGCGTATCCAAGCTGATCCGCTAGAAAAACCACAGGCTCTGCATTTCACCGACCATAAAGCTGTAATAATGAAGTCGAAACGCATCCTGGAACTCCGCACTACCTATGAGCAATAAAAAAAATCAGCGCCATCAGCACTACCTATGAACGATAAAATAAGTATCATCAGCACCACCAGAGCTTCGCCCCAATCAACATCATTCACCACGTGGAGAAGCGTTCATTTTTTTTAAACCTTTACATAGGATGGAATTTCGTTCGTCGTTATCCGTGTGCAGTTGCGTCAACATTTGTAAGTATGCGTGGAAATATTATAGTTTTCACTGGAACGTAAATAACAAGCTTGTGTAATTATTGAAAGTGCGTTGTTTGTGCTTATGTGTTTATTTATACTAATGTTATTTTATTGCCTTCACCGCGTTTATACTAGAATCTTAAGTGTATTAAGGTAATAGTGTCATTGTATACAAAATAAGCTCTATGTTATTCAAAGGCAGCTCGAGCCCATTGGGAGAAGTAAATTAGTTGACTGTAAATAGTAAGTTTAGTACCCCTGCCACACTGAAAAGTTAATATATTTTCATTAAATGATACGGTAATTAATCAGCTCGCGGTCTTGAGTGATTCTACGAGCGTCGCAAGCTGATTTGTCGACATCATATATTCATTCGATCGAAATTACATTCATTTTGCCATGAGGCCGGGGTAGAATGTGAGAATTCACTTGCTGTACGCGATAACATCGCTTACATTATCGTGACACTTGTCTAGCCGTGTTCGTGTTGACTACGTCTACCTGATTTTTAACTGTGATCTGTTTTGTTGTGTCCAATCACTGCGTTTCTCGCCATTTTGTCGAAGTATTTCTGTATGAAACGTGCATTCCTACAGCAATAATTGCTGGACTCGATGTTTTCGAATAGACGTCTTCTACGCATACCTCGGGCCATTTCGTAACGATTATTTAGTGGCGTAATATTTTGTCTTTGTAATAAAATGTTTTCTAGACCCGTGGCTATGTGCATCTTTAATTTTTGCTGATAAGACACGCGCATGTGACTGAAAGTGCGTTACGACGGTCGATCCACGCGCGTTGCCTTCGCTTCGACGCTCGCAACCCGATGGCCTTCCTTTGCGACGTCACGAGAAGAGCGCTACAGCCTTCTCTTCTAGGAAGTGTTGTGTGAACGTCTTTCATTTTTTTCTTTGTATTCTCCCCTCCCCCATTTTTATGTAAAGCCGAGAAATGGGAGATTTAAGGATAATGAAAATGAATGAATAAATGAAAAGTCTGTTCCTGTGACCAAGGTTGTGTAACCTTTCTCCTCATTCTCTAACATAAAAAAAATGTTTTTTTTATTTTTTAAATGCGCTCGTTGGCTAACTTTGATAGGGTAGAAAGCCCTAAACCCAAGAGTCAGACGTCACAGGTTGGCGATTTAAGTAACGAGCTCTTGCACATCCTGGAAGCTTTACCGATTGTCACGACCACTCCACTAGACCGGGGCAGGAACACCGGGATGCTTGTTTGGAAAGTTGCCATCTGCCTGCTGGGCACTGCTACAGGTAGGGTAAAAATATTAACTCTTATATCTGGCAGTTTAAAGGGGCATTCAAGTGCTTTTTGTAGAAGCTTATTTTTAGTTCCATATTCTTGGTCAGGTTTCAACCAATAAAAATTACCAATCCTAGATGGAAGTTTAAAGGGGCATTTTTGGGTCCCTACCACCTACCTAAATTTTCAATAATGAAAATAGTCTACTTCGTTGTCTTTCCCAACTATACTAATATTGCTCAATTGAGGCACGTTGTGCATTCTATTTTGAGAAAGAAAAAAAAAAGGAAAAGTTAAATCTTCGGGTGTAAAAGACGTAACAGAGTAATTATTGTTTAAACACGCCGTCGGACGGCGCCTCCTGGTGTCTGCCCCAAGGTGCAGAAAGAGGCTTTGATTCAATTTTCTCTGAGGAAATCGTCCGCTCAAGTGTGCAATTTCTGTTGTTTTTTTCTTTAGGATGCTTAGAGACCGTAGATTTTCATCACTAAAAATACAATCTCAGAATGCGCTTAAGTGTCCGGAGTTTTCCGGTGTTTTTTTTTTTTATTCTTTCTGTTGCCAGCGGTTTATTATGTTCACGATCCTTGCTTCGCGACTAATTCTTCGGCGTTCGTATCGGCTAATGCCGCATTCTGATTGGTTGCGGAGTTATTATAAGATGTGCGCGACTTACCACAAACTACGCTTCTCAAGTTGTTCAAAACCATAGTGGACGCCATTTGCGCAGCTGCAATCACAAGTCAAAACACCAGGAATCGTAGCAGCCTCGCAGCTTGTATATTCCAGTGAACCGACATGTTCATCGTGTCACTCGGCGGATGTTCACTGCATAGATCCCAGTGATTGGCCATCCCCATGCTCTACAATAAAGGAGTAATGAAGCCAAAGTCATAGTGATTGAACTCTACATTTGTGACAATGCGTGACTCAATATTGAGTCACAATTAGCGTAAATAAAAGACGTTGACTTATTATGCCGTCGGGGATCGAGTCACAACTAAGCTTACACTCTCAGCAATGCCTGCGCGTCTACTTATCGGCAAAATACTCGAAGAGCTAATCCCTATGATTTACGAAATCAGCTCAGCGAATGATGAGGCGGAGCATCTGTTTAGACTTCAAAATTCAGTCTGCGCTGTGGCATTACGCAATGCTAGGATGACGCTTTGCCTTGCGCAATGCCACAGCGCGCAGACTTCATTTTTAGGTCGAAACGGATGTTCCGCCTCATCATTCGCTGAGCTGATTTCATAGATCAGAGAGATTGGCTTCTTGAGTGTTTTGCGGGTAAGTAGACGCGCAGGTATTTCTTAGAGTGTAAAGAAAAGTCGTAGTCCTATTTCGTCGCCGAGAATCGTTAAATTAGTTTATAAAAGGGGTGGTCGACATGTTTTGCCTCCGAGGCTGTAACTTTTTCATTCAGCGATGTAATTGAAAGATGTTACATTCGAATGAAAGTTTGGAATCTCCATTTTCCCAAGAGCAGATAACATCTCGATATAGTCTCCTCCGGCGCTAATGCATTTCCACTACCGGTGCACTATTCTCCGCATGCCGTCATAGACGATTCATGACGTCTGTTATACCTCTGTCAAACGGGCGCCAAAAAGGACCTTTACGCCAAAGGCCTTTAGGATTTTCAAATGACCTTTACGTTCTGCCGTACCAGACAGAGCCAGTAAATGCCATTTAGACGATGTTTATTGCGATTGAAATCTCGTAGCTCGGTTCAAACGCATAAATCACGTTTACGCCAGAAAAATATTATTTTGGCGATATAAATATTTTTTTAAAGTTTTTTGTAAGCCGACAATATATTAAAGAAGACAAAATGACGAATTCAGTCGAGTGATGACAACAAAGTCCACTTTATGACCAAGCAAAGTGTTTTTTGGCAATTAGCGGCCACCTTGGGCGTCTCCCGCTCATGCAGTCCTATCGTTGCTCAGCGCTCCTGATCGTTTCCGTGCTTCTGCTACGCTTGTGCCCTGTCCGGTTCGGCGTCGTGCTCGCGCTTGAGGTTCATCGCACCCGTCGGAGGTCCTCCAGCCGACCCTCTCGTCGATCCTCCCAAAGTCGTATCAGCGCCCAGGTCGCCTCAACTCTCCAATGGAAGCGCGGCGACCCCTTCTTACTGGTGGACGCTCCTTTGTCGTTCGACGTATCGCACGACGCAAGAATAAGTTAGAGAAATGTATATGTAAAAAAAAATATTAAATATATACAATATATACGCTATTAAAGGATGATAAAATATAAAGCAGAGAAATAAAAGCTAGGTAACCATGGTTTTAAGGGAAATTCAGAGGAAGAAAAACGAACTGCCGAAGCGGACGATGCGAGCAGGCGACGACGAGGCCTACTGGATAGCTGGGGCCGTGAGTACAAAAAACTATTAGTAGAGCGATGTTTGTAAAGAATAAACGTGAAACGCGCTCTTTTTCAATAATAAAATTGCAAAAGCATTGATTTTAGATGTCAGTACGATCTTTTATTTCACTTCGCTTCTCTAGTGTAGACCACTGCTGACGAGAGTATACGCCCTTAGCAGCCGTAAAGGCCCGTTCACACTCTTGCGACCGAGTACGACTGAGAGAGACGAGATCTCTTACAACTTCTTAAATGTTTTTAGAATGAGGGAACACACTGACATTGTGGCGCCATCTATGCGGTGACCCTGGAACTGCATTCCACAAGAGCGAAGGTTTTGCGGGATTTTCGAGGTCAAATGCGCGTAATAGCCATAGTAAGGCTCGTTTATAACATTGTCAAAAGTTTTTCGAGCCAAGAAAGAAAGGATAATGCTCGAGAAATAAAAAAAAATATGCCGGACCGCCGAGTTTACACTGCTTCCCAATAGATGGCGCCAGTGTGTTTTCTGGTTTAACAAGTTTTAAGGAACCCAGGTTTAAGAAGTCGCAAGCAGTCGCAAGAGTGTGAATGGGCCTTAAAGGAGCTGTGGCACTGCTTGAATGACATTTACACTAAAGGTCCTTTGGCGTAAAGGTCCTTTTAGGTGCCCGTCTGACAGGGGTATTAGACTAACGCCGCAATGGAGAAGCTGCAGTTTCAATATGTTTTGCGTCATTCACCTTACAGCCCGGACATCGCACCACTTACTTTTGGCTGTTTTCCGAGATGAACAAACACGTTAAGAAAACAGGCTTCGCTTTCGACGACGGGGTTACCGTTGCGGTGCGCCAAACTTTCATTCGAATGTATCATCTTTCGATTCCGTCACTGAATCAAAAAGTTACCGCCTAGAAGGCAAAACGTATTGATCATTCGCAGCGGAGAATCACCAGCAGCGATCAGCACCTAATACAGGAGGACCATCTCAGTGACAGCTTAAGAGTTCAGGGCGAGGAAAGGAAGGCTGGGGAGAAGGAAGCAGATGGATTGCTGGAGAGGAGAGGAAGAAACACCCTTCTCACTCCAGCGGTCCGCCTGCTTCCTCCTCCCCAGCCTTTCTTTCCCTCGCCCCGATCTCTTAACCTGTTAACTAGCCTCCTATCCGGAGGGAAAAGACCAATAGTTTCCAAGTAACGCACAAAAAACACACAAAATCAGCAAAATGGTGGGTTTTTGTGGTATCATCCATAATCCTTAAAAAGCGTCATTGAACAGACTCTAACCTAACTGTTTGACTTACGCTTACGAAATTACATATACTAGAATAACCTTCAATCCTTGTTGAAAATAACGTGCGAAAATGGTGCAGTATTCAAGAGAAATTGTAGGAGTGCTTGAGGCTGTTATGTGTTAATGTTGTCCTGTGTGCGTCTCAGTCTCGGCATTTTGTTGATTGTGAAGTCCCTTTATTTTTAACATAGAAAAGACCGTTACAAAAAGCCGTCATAAAGAATCGTCGCAAAGAACCGTTACCAAGAACCTGCACAAAGAACTCTGACATTACGTAATATCGTGACCTCACGTGACGTCCTGAGGTCACCTGACTGTGGGACATCACGTAATGTCATGAAACCATGTGACATCTTACACTCACGTGCCATTCTGACATCGTGTCACGTAGCAGTCGTGTGACCTCATCACGTCACTTGACGTCACACACACACACACACACACACATAGCATGCATCCAGCTCATTTGCAACAGGCTCTGTGCTTTCCAGTCTTTACCAGCATGACCAAGCTTATTGAAGTAACTTTTTCCAGGAACTAGGATCGGGGAGGCTTACGTCTACCCGCGGATTCTGGAGGAGAGATCTTCAGATGGCCTCAAGCTGGTTTCCGTCGACGGGAAGAAGATTCTCAGGCTGGAGAAGGCATCCGTGCTGGCCGAGACCCTACTTGTGACGTCATACGACGAGAACGGGCAAATGACGCACACACCAGTGAGTGCACGCCATATCCGATACGCGATTTTTCGAAACCGGGTGACGCCATGATTACTTCCAGACAAAATCAAAACTAAACCAACTCTTTCTAGTGTTCTTTATATCATGTATAATTGTTTTTTTTTGAGAGATCCAGATAAAATCTTGTTCAAAAGTTGCTCCAAGAGGCGTTAACAGGGTGGTTTGTGATAATTTAGGCAAATTCATTAATTATATGTGTGCCTATATTTTCGTCATTTTAGATTCAAGTCGAAGAAATTGAGAAGCACCACTACCGTGACAGGGACCAATACGCCTCTTTGATGGTGCGCGACACAGCAAATGGCCTCGAAATGGTAATATTCATACTGCGTTTTGCGCCATAATTAACATAATTTTGTGATAATTGAAATTCAAATATTATAATAGAAAATAAAAGTGCGAACGGCGTCTTTCATTGTCACTGTCTTTGTCACTGTCATCGTCACGGACAACTTAAGAAATACAGGGTGCGGTCAGTATCGAGTATACTATTATGCTTGCCTCGGGGTCAATAACACTGCGAAATTAGGCGTTAAGAACACTTAAGAACAACAGCTTGAAACCCTGCGTTTCTTGAGCTCCCGGTGATTATATTTCCGCTTAATGACTTGACCAAAAAAAAAAGATTATTCGGCGTCGATGACCGATAACATCTCAGTTTCACCGGGAAAAGAGACCATTGATCTAAGATACTGTTCATTCTTTTTATCGATTTTACTAATTAAAGCGAGACCGATGAGTGCCTTTTATGCTTCATCGCGAACCAGTTGATGTAATCAAGACCGTAGAAGCGTGGTTATTATCGAACGGTTAACGCAGCTGCCTCATGACGTCTTCGAGGTATTTCGCCCCTGCGGAAGGTTAACCATGCCCTCTAAAAACTTCCATAAAAATGGTATTTAACAAAAAATGTTAAAAAAAATACAATAAACAAATTGTTCGTTGTAGTTGCGATTGTTATGTTGTCTGCCGGAGTGGTAAAACTGCATAAGGTTTTTATTATATTACAAGGGTCACGACCTTCGTCTTATATAACGTAACAGGCCTAAAGGTCAAATTCATAACAGATTAAAGAAAGCAGCAGTGTACAACATTGCACTCATATTCAGTTATTAGTATTTTCTCCACTCTGTATGCGCAGGGTGTTTACCGATGACCTCGCCGACCAGTGAAACAGCAGACGTACCAACTGGGCTTGTAGTAGATGTTTATCGGAAAGAATCATCGTAGCTCTCAATATCTTCAAGGGGTCTCAACAAAATATCTCGAAACAATATCAAGCCTTTTTTTCTTGTGTGTTCAAATGAAATTACATTTTTTAATGATCATTCGATCTATTCAATACCTGCTGACTTCAAAGTTGAAAAAAGAATACTTTACTAGTGGGGATCGCTTAACCTTCTCCGTTAAAAAAAACAAACAAACATAAAAGAAGATTATTTCTTATAAAACAATACTGCTAATTTCTAAACCGAACAGTAAAATCTAATGAATATCACATTTGCCACAAGCAAGTGGTCGCCGGTTTTTATTCTTCTTCACTTTGAGGAATTAGTAGATATACTCATTCATTGAAATTAGCAGTGTTGCGAAATGTGCACGTTTTGGTCACAAACTTATGCCTTAAAACCTTTTTGTTCCTTAATGTTTCTCTGAGAAAAAATGCTGAAATACATAAGTCTACTCTTGTGTTCCTTCTAACCGTTCTGCGAATTGTATTTCACAGTATTTTCGTATTTTGGTCTGCTCCGTAGAATGTTCTTCACGGAAGTTAACAGGGTGATACAGTTATAGCGAGACAAGCGGGGTATCTTAATTTATGTTACCTTGTATGAGAAATCAAACGCTAGTCATTAAAAATAGTAGTATTTGGTAGAATGTGAAAGTTTGTGTCACGAACTTACGGTGTAAAATATGTTAACCATGGCTCTCTTTGAGGAAAATGCAACACACGAAAAAGATATGATGCTATTTTCGCGTTAACTGTTCCACGAACTAACAAATCTGTTGTATTTCTGTCTCCTCCGTCGGATATAATGTTCGCCAGACAGGGATGGTGGACGCCGTTACTCGGATTGAGCCTGTGCTCACAGCACCGCGATCGTTGGACGGATCCTTGCCCCACAGGTTGCACACCATGCCAGAGGAAGACTTGGAACGGCTCAAGGAGATCGGTGAGGTTAGAGCCCCAAATAAGTCACGCTTTAGGGCCGCTTTACACTTTGCTACTGAGCGCTCAGATAGCGTGAAGTCAGCAATGCATCAGTGCTGCTGTCAGTGCTGAGTCAGCGCTGAGTTAGAGCTACTCAATAAGGTGTGTATGCCAGAAAAAAAGTTGGGGCTCCAATCCACGCTGTGATGGTGGTTGGTCAGCGAAGCTGTGGTATCACCTGCAACGGTTGCCTACTGCACTATACGAAATGCCGTTGCCAGTCGCAGGAAACCGCTGCTGGTCGTACTCCCGTTTCGTTTCCTACTGCGGCTCCTAGTATACACGCTGCTATTTGGGAGTCCTAACTATGCGTGGCCCATTCATTGCGGTGCTGCAGTAACATTGAAATCATTTGACACACTCCGTCTCATCTTATGTTTAAACGCAGCGGATGTTACGAGCCATCGGAGCCAATCGGAGGCCGAGTGAGTGACACGTGACCTTAGAAAGGGGGCACAGCGACGCGCGGAAAGCGTATCACTGGCCACGTCCACAGAACGGGATTGGCTAAGATAGCTCGTAGCATCCGCTGCGTCCCTACGTTAGGTGACACGGCGGGTTCTTCTTTTATATGAAAGGCTAGCGAAGTCACTCCCACGTCACAAGCTGCCGTCTCTGCGGCAGCTAATGACGTCAACCCTTTTCGAAGCAGCGGCAAACCTGATCTTTACCGGAACGCGTGGGAGGGTGTTGTTCCTATTGTTCACACGCGCCTTATCAATTTTGCATCATGTGGTTTTGATGCTTGTTTTGTGGTTTTCTTTATTGAAAAGGATACTGAGCTGTATGCTGTGCGCCTGTCTGCAAAACAGATATGCTGTTCTGGCTTCAATTGTTTGCCGGGAGGTTTTTGCTTACAACCCCAACGACACGAAACTTTCCTCGCCTGGTAGAGGTATACAGCTTCGCTGTAAAAAGAGAATCGTCTATGCAACGAAACGCCGATACAGTGTTGATATTAGTTGTGTTTGTGTTTGTCGTCTGTCCCTCTTGTTCTCCTTCTCCAAGGGGATTATTTTCGTCATTCTTGTCCAGCTCGCTTGCACCTTTGCGTTTAGTTGCATTCTAATTATAACCTTAAATTGCAAGCTTCACCCTTGTTGGTGTTCTACTGGTGGCAACTAATAAAACCCGTTTGCTCTACTGACATCTAACCCCTGGTGAGCTCAGTTGGTAGAGCGCTCCACCAGTAATGGAGACAGAGGTCCCGTGTTCGATACTCGGACCAGACGGATTTTTTCGGTCGCGCACCAGTCCCCCAACTGTGTTTGGAGATTTGTGTTTGTCCTTTGTCCCACTTGTCCCTCTACTATAGGGATTATTTTCGTCATTCTTGTCCAGCTCGCTTGCACCTTCGCATTTAATTGCATTATAAATGCAAGTATAACTGCGCTTTTCAGTGGCGTGACTTCAGGGGAAGGCCCGCTTGTGGGTCAAGCGACAGTCTCGATGCCGAGCATTTCTTTGCTGCTGCTGTTTGGGTGCTGGAGCGAGCTTCCAAAGCATTCATTTGACACAATGAAACTGCTAGCAATCAGTGGGGAGCGAAGTCTACAGTCTAAAAAGTGAATCCTTGCCTTCCCCTTCTTTGTCGCGAGTAGAACCTTTCACTTTAAAGAACACGGTGAGGACCAAAAAGTGTGAATACAACAACTTCGCGAGAAAAAATTCCTTTTTGCCCATTATTTTGGTTACTATCTTAGCGATGTCTGTTGGTGTGTTTAGCAGAATTTAAGCCGAATCGAGAACTATAAAAAGAAACAAAAAAACGTCGGGGTACCCCTTTAAGCGTGGGTGTACTAATCAGGTGGAACCTCGAGATACTCACGGGAGAAACGGTTTTATCGAAGATTTCTCTGTTCCGCTGTTTAGCGCGCAACTAACAGATTGTCCTAAAATTTAAATGAAAAAAAAGTCAGGATTTCGAACAATCGCGTTTACAAGACCTGTCAAAAACTCGCTTCCGGGACGAGCACGTCTACTTCTGGTGGTTATACAACCGTCGTGGTGTCACCGCGTGCTGGCGTCGCTCTAGTGAAAAACGCTAACACGCGGCGACGCCGGGGCGGACGGGTCTCTCTCGTCAAGCTTCGGCCGTTTGCCGCTTGGGGGCGGGTCAGGCGGGATCCACTGACGATAGCGTCATGCTCAGGTCTTGCCTTCTAGGTGGTATCGGGTAAACGGGCCATCTAGTCCCCGTTTGCCGCTTGGGGGCGGGATCCACCGACGATGACGTCATACGCAGGTCTTGCCTTCTATGTGGTATCGGCTCAACGCGCCATCTAGTCCCTTATTTGCGAGTTTTCCAAAATGGCGGTTATAGTAAGGCTCGGAGATGAGTGCCGGTATGCCAGTTGTTGAGTTTGTCTATTCTGCTGGCTTCACTGATTGACACAAATTAGTACCGCTTATACGAGGGAGCCAAGAAGTTATGAGCGCATGTCGCCACTTTATCCTGAAAACAAAAAAACGGTGTTCAGCACAATATCTGCGCTAGATGACACTTTGTAAATCTGGAACGAAAACGAAACTAACCTCTATTTTGGATTTCAATTTTCGGAATAGGTGTTAATTTCGGATTCGCTCATAACTTAGTATGTGTCTAACACCGTGATTATTTACCTGAAGAAGTTGTTTTCGGAAACATTATTTTGTGACATACGTGTGCGATCCAGGCACTTCAAAATATTTGGCAAATTCAGTGACCCTTTGAAGACATGGTCTTTTATTCGCCTTATAGGTAACATTGAATATTGTATTTGTTGAAAAAATTTGTGCTGATACTTGTGTGTTCTTGCAGCATTTCCACGCTCGCATGCTTGTCATGTAAAATCATGACCTGCGGGCCTTTTCACGAGTTTTGGAGTATTTAGATGATTAACCACTTTAACTGCATTCCCAGCATAAATATATTTTTTTTGCGCGCACGGAAAAAAAAGAATTATAGATATTTGTTATTGTCGTATATACCAAAGAAGAATCTGTAAGATATAGTTGCATGCCGCTTACACCCATTGTTGCTTGGAAGTTTTGCATAACCTATTACATATAAAATTTCGTATAAATTGTGGCGATTAACCAAACTAAACATTGCAAAAAGATTTCTTAACATAAAGAAACACAGGCAGTACACATTTTGTTAAAATACCCAAGCACCAAGGAGAACGTTGAGAACGTAGGTACGCGAGCTGCACGCGTTTTTTTTTAATATATACATTTGAAGTATATATAACCAAAATAGGGCGCTATTGAGCGCACGTGCAAAAACGCCTTTTGTTTTTTGACATTTTTGGCTTAGAGCAGTTTCCGCTGCAGACGTCAGCGAGTGCAGCGCACGTAACTGTACTTACAGCACGCTGCTTTGTGTTTTCAAAATTCAGGAAAGGGTATTTTTCTTCGAAGGTTTGCTGCGGAAAAGACGCTTTGCAATTATTCTTGTTCGCCTCCATCGCAACACAACCGGAAAAGGTTTCTTCGCAAATAAACGGGCATTGCTCTTTTCGCTACCTTTGCTATCCCAATGTATGAATTTTTCCTTCTTGCGAAGGGCTATACGTTTTGTTCGTATTTTGTTTAGGTGATTCTGCGTGTGTGTTCCTTTTGGCTAGTTTACTTCCGCAAAGTCTTTCCCCTCAAAAGCCGGCCGGTTAATTTTCTATCAAATAAATAATTTAATCGGTTTGGCGCACTCCGGCCGTTTCTTGTAATTGGCCCACCACGTGCTCTGTGGGGAAGTTAACATTTAGTATGAATATCTTATCACAGAACTAAACCAATTTTAAACAAAACACACTATTGTACAAGATGACATTTAGTTTATGTTGCGTTCAACGCGACTTTCTTCTGCGGTCCATGTTTTACCGCTGTCGTCATGGAAAGGTTAGCTGACGACTGACCTAATCCTTCTATGTGGTCGACGGAACACGCTTTTCTAATTTTGCGAAGGGGTTACGTTTTCTTCGAAGGTCACTGTGAAGGTCACAACGGAGGTCATGACCTTCACAGTGACCTTCATGAGTGACGTCACGAGGGTCACTAGGGTCACGAGTGAGGTCACAAATTCCACGAGTGACGTTACGAAGGTCACTCGAGGATGTCGCGACGAAGGTCACGACCTTCCACAGTGACTTTCACAAGATCTTCACGAGTGACCTTGACGAGAATCGCGAGTGACGCAACGAGTGACGTCAGGAGGGTCACGATCAACGTCACGAGGCTCACGAGTGACGTAACGCGAGAGGGAGGGGCGGGGAGAGAGGGAGGAAAATGAGGAGATGGAGAGAAGGAAGGCAGGGAGAGGGGAGAAGAGGAAAAGGAGGGAGACGGAGGGAAGGGTATAGAAGGGGGAGGTAAAGAAGAAGAAGGAAAGGAGAAGGGAGTGGGAGGAGGGGACGAAGAGCGGAGGGAGAGGAAGAGGAGAAGGTACAGAGGAGGACGAGGGGCATACGCTCCTCTTCGTACCCTCCCCCCCCCTCCTCCTCAAGAGCTGCACTCTAATTCGGCATTACAGGGAATTGTAAGAGTCTTTCATATTTATTTTAGTCATTTTTATAGACCGTGCTTCACTGTCTCTTTCATGTGTTCAGTCGTTAGAAAAAGGCGGACGGGTGTGCAGGTTGGATACTTTGCGAGTACGGTGCCTGATATACCGTGACGGTGTCACTGCGTGCCGGCTGAGTGGCATCATATGTGGTTACTGTACTTTGGTACTGTTTCTGAGCGCCCGTATGTCCACTTAATTTTCGCAGAGCTGTGTTCGCAAATAAAACGTCAAGATCACAATCGAAAATAATCGTGCATATATTTGTTTTTGATTTCCTCGTTTCGGCAGGAGGGCTCCAGGTTACCTTTTCTTTTAAATGCAAATGACGCCGTGTTCAACACAATTCTTCTTAACGACTTGGAGACGTGGACTTTCCTTTTTAACAACTGGTTTGAACCGGTTCGCGCTTCGTGGAACCG